CATGGGTTCATTAGGCAGCATCCACGAGGGAATGCCACATGGCGATTCCCCCTTCCCACGAACTCTGTTGCTTTTTTCTTTCAATGAGTTCGACGAGAAACCTGTCAGACTGCAGGTCTCCTGCTTTGCTCGCGTGGACTCGGTAACTTCCAGCCCCTGATCATTGTTGACTTTACATAAGACTTGACTGGATCCCAAAGGATCCATCTGCCTACATTACCTGCATCTCTTTCACGCTTCCGGATCAGCGGTGTCCCCCTGCCATTGGACGACGATCGCTCGGCAAGCTGTCCCCTTGGGCCGCTCCGGTATCCGTGACTGGGAGATTCTTTTCAACGTCGCTCTTTTCTTTTTTGCATGCTTGCCAGATACTCACGATGGATTCATCTTTGCTCTGGGCTCGATCAGGGCCTCCTCCATATCCGGATGTGATGGATATCCCTACGCCGCCTCTGCAGGAGAAAGGTCTTGTGGTAATGTTTCTTTTCCCATGTCTGGCCATCATTATCGTGGGGATGCGGATGTACATCCGGATAACCATGCGGCTGGTTGGCCTTGGTAAGTTTGATCATGACCAACGGTTTCTTCGACCAACAGCTAATCCAATGGTTTCAAGATGATTACCTCGTGTTGGCTGCTCTCGTAAGTCCATGGCCTTACTCAGCCACGCCTTTGGCAAGCCTCGACGGCAGGCTAGATCGAATTGTCGCCCCGACACATTACTGACAGTTCTTGGCAGCTTTTTGCGTTGTTGATGGTTGGACCTCTTTTCATGTGTAAGTTGAAGCCCCAGGAAGCTTGATGATAGACTTGCTAACAGATCTACAGTCATGAAGCTCAACTACTGGGGATGGCACAAAAAGGACGTCCCCGACTTCGACCCAAGGGCCGGCTACTGGTGGAACTTTCTCGTCCAGATGTTCTATAACCCCGTCCTCGCTCTCGTTAAAGCCTCGATCCTCGTTTTCCTCCTTCGCCTCGGCGGCCACAAGCAGTCGGTGCGATATGCGATTCACGCCCTAAACATCTTCAACGCGCTCCATGCCGTCGCCATCTTCTTCACGGCTCTATTCCAGTGCATCCCCCTGGCGGCAAATTGGGATTTTTCTCTACGAGAGGATCCTGATACGAAGTGCATTCACAATTCGTTTCACGTCATTGCGTCTTGCATTACAATTCTTACCGACTTCTTGGTGCTTGCGCTGCCGTTTTGGATCTTCTTGGGTCTCACGATGCCCTGGGCAGCGAAATTTGCAGTTATTGGAGTGTTTGTCATGGGTTCTGTGTAAGTTGGCTTTGCTTCTTTTCAGGCTGCTTCCTTCTGCGTCTCCCCCTTATCGGAGTATCGTTATTGGGAGTATGGGCTAACCATTTCTAGTGTGGCCATCGTCGGTATCATCCGCGTTGTGGGCATCTACGACCTCCTACTTAGAACTCACGGCCCCGAAGAAGACTCAACCTACAGTATCTCACCCGTTTGGTCCATAGTCGAAACAAACCTTGCCATTATCTGTGCCTCGATACCCGCCCTCCGAGGGCTCTTCCGACGATGGTTCCCCAGGCTCTTCGGCGGAAGCTCAAGAAAGACAACTGGCACTCCGTACGGAAATGGATATGCCAGTGCCACTCGAGGAACCAATGGACTGAGGTCGGCCAACTATGATATGCCGAGTGATATTCGATTGAAGGACCTTCGGGGGTCGCGAGCTCATCATACTGAGATCCGGAGTGTATCGCCGAATGGATCTGAAGAAGAGATCATGACGTACAATGGCATCATGCGGACAACGAATGTGGATGTGGCTTATGAGAGTCCTTCCAAGCATAGTGTATCGGAACCTCGGACATCGAGCGAGCTGAAATTTGGAAGCAAGGAGCCTGAAATGAGGCTGGGAGTATAAGGGTGTTTGGAATATGAGAATAAAAATTGCGAGTAATGTCTATAATTGGAATATCGGAAGAAACCATCGTCTGTTGGGAGAATTTGCCGAATTGGCTCGTCCCAGGGTCGCCACTGTCACTCGCCATTCCATGTCTAGCTGATGATCCAACTTATCTTCACACAACAAGAGTACAATCCTGATCTCCCGTCCAGATCCTTCTCCTGTGCGGGCCACTCCGTGGTAAATTGAGTGTCCTGTATGGGTTAGTAGTGCCAAGCCATCAAACTAGCCGGTTATCTGATACAGTCCTGGCACATTGACTTTCCCTATCGGTGGTAGATTGGATGAAGTGGCCTGATTTCCCATTCGTAGGGCCCTTGCCAAGACACACTAGTTTCCTTGCTTGCTTGACAAATCAACGACGTGCTTCGAGAACCCAGAACTATCTAGGGTTGGAAGATGACCGTGAGCTTTCGCCTATTTAGAGAAGCAGAAGGGAAAGCATTTGCATCTCTTCCACCTGAAATTAAGACGTGACTGCAGGTTACGTAGAAAACAGAAGCTAAGTATTGATAGAGTTATTCAAGTCTGTTGTTCTACGTAATGATTAGGTGGGAGGATGATGGTCACAGCTCTGAAGTGTTTGCACTTGTCCAGCTCAACGAAAGTTGCGATTGAACACAATCTAGCTCAATCTTCTCCCAATTCACACAAGAGCCAACCTAATTTTAGGTTTGCGGGAGCATGTAGCTTGCTGATGGCATTTAAGCCTTGAGAAAATTTCACTCCCACTACACTCTGTTCCTTAGAGACTGGGCCGTGGACGATAGTGAACGAGGTGCAAGCTAGGTTTCCAGACCTTGCTGGGAAAAAAATACTAGAGATCGTTACATAATATAGTTTTTTTCAGGAAACTTCCGCTAAACTCTGAGAATGTCGCAGTTCTAAGGTGGGTGTGGGAGCCTGGCCCTTTCTCAGACTGTTGCTGAGGTCACTCTTTTTTTAGATGAAGAGAATCACCGAATGTGAAGAGATTCGAGAGAACACTCTGAAAACGTAAATGTGCATTGCACATGCGTCATTGAGAATAACAAAGACGTGAATGTGCTGCTGGGTTCGCTTATATATCTTTTTAGACGGTGTTTGATACTAGATGAAAGGGAGTAGCTTGCAGTCAATAGGCTGTTGTTAGGCGGATAGAAATCACCATAGACTACCAAGAACTGGTTTTAGATTATTATGATTGGGTGGAATATCTGGTTTTGAAAGAACAAGCGAATCTATAAGCACAGGTCCTTTGGGTATCGATTGTAGGCCCGATGTCAATTGACATCTTAACACCGTCTAGGACGAGAGCCAGGACTCTTGGGTGTAGTTTGTCGCATCTCTCCAGTTGAAAGACCAAGAATTGACGACTATGTGTAATAGAAACCCAAATAAGAAGTTGATAATTAACCTTGCGCATCGACAAGGACGTCTCTGCGCTGGGTGCGTGCGTTGCTGTCACGCGAGACGAAATGATCGCCGGAGCAATGGCATTGTTAGAAAAGCCGTCCAAGTCAGTCACGAGAGAAGATACTGATGAAATTGCAGAGTAGCGGGCTTCTGAAAGAGTCATTTTCTATATATAGAGGACAGAGCAAAGCACGAGGCCGATAACCATCACGTAAAGACATCTCCTGACGTCCCCAGAGATCAGTCAAATGACCCAGTTATCAGACTCATTCGCATTAGTAAATTCATTCTATGAACCCCGCAGATAAGCGATTGTTGGGGAACAAAGTTTCTGTCCCCCAGGCACGAAATCTTGTGAGGTGCTTTTTCGGACGGCCCGTTGCTCACGAGATGTTGAGGCTGCCGTTTAGCCGACATGACAACCAACGGCCTTCACAACATCAGATTCAACGCCTTTTATCCTGTCAAAATTTGGTACAACCGACCTGATATTCTTTCTCATCGATCCATTTGATCTCAATCTCGAAACAGTGTAATCTCGCCGCCTGGGTAATCATTCTGGGGCCGACGAGCGGAGGGAGAAAAAAAGTGCACCCTTGAATTCCTGTTAGGAAAACATGACATGATCAGATCCACTGGAAGCGTCTCAATGAATTTCCATTAAAAACCAGACCCGTAGGGCGCATGACTCTTGGCCAATCCGGCAGTTTCGACGACGTAAAAAAAGGGAGACCGGCAATAAGACCCTAGTCAAGCGGATGCAAAAACTCTGACGGACGAGCTTCCAACGCTTTACGTCTTATGGTCAAGCGCCATGCTGAGAATGTTCCATACGCTATGCTACGCAGCTACGCTACGCCACGCCGATGCGGCTCTTGAACGCCTTCGGGCCTTTTGCGAGAATTTCGGGACGGGCAACGACACGTGCGGTTTTGGTTACGAAGAGGCGATACCGGTTATTTCAGCTGTTTGATGACTGGTCTGAACGGTTAGACACTGACAATTACGAGTTTGAATGGATAAAAAGACCCTCACTATGAACAGGGCATCCCCCAGAAAGGACATGACCCCATGGAGATGCAATGACACCCCGGCTCCGAGTTGACTCCGTTACGTTTTTCATCGTCGTCCGTGTGGAGCCCGGGTTCTCCGACCACGCGCCCTTTCTTGTCATGTCGTGTCGTTTCGTGTCGTTCCGTGTCGATGACGGCGGCCGATTAACCGTCGAAAAGCAGGTCTAGCCGCCACCCGCTGCATTATCGTACCTTAATTCTAGGTAGATAAAATATCTCTCTGGGGTCGTTGAGTTTGTTTCGGCGTCGATCGTTCCTCCTGTTTATCTCTTAAGTAGAGGGTGCCTGCCTTCAAGCGCCTCCTCTCATACTCTTGATCTCCATCTTTCCTCCTCCCACACTCATCACCATCATCAATACCTCGATCAAGATGACAAACGACAAATCTAAACCCGTATCCAATATGATTGACGACAACCTCGTCGGCGATGCTCCCGACGACGTCCAAGTCTCGCAACACAAGCAGCTCGCCGCCCAAGGAAACGCCCACTTCCATCGTCTCGGCTGGAAGCGATTGGCCGTCGTCACCATCGTCGAGGCTGTCGCCCTCGGTGCCCTCAGTTTGCCAGGCGCCTACCATACTCTCGGAATGTTCCCCGGCGTCTTCCTGACCATCACGCTCGGTCTCGTGTCCATCTTCACCAGTTATATCGTCGGCCAGGTCAAGCTTCTGTATCCTAATGTGTCGCATTACGCCGATGCTGGTCGACTCTTGTTTGGTCGCTTCGGCTACGAGGTTTTTGGTGCTGCCCTGGTTCTCGAGCTTGTCATGGTTGTCGGTTCTCACGCCCTGACTGGTAGCATTGCCCTGATCGACATCGCCGACGGTCGCGTCTGTTCCATCGTCTTCTCGGCCGTCTCAGCTATCATCCTTCTGATCCTCGCTATCCCTCCTAGCTTCACCGAGGTCGCGATCCTCGGTTACATCGATTTCGTCTCTATTGTCGCCGCCATTGGTATTACCGTTATCGCGACCGGTATCCAAGCCAGCGACTCACCTGGCGGCCTCTCTGGCGTGGGGTGGTCAGCCTGGCCCAAGGAGGATCTCAGCTTTTCCGAGGCTTTCGTCGCCGTGAGCAACATTATTTTCGCCTTCAGCTTTGCCATTGGTCAATTCTCCTTCATGGACGAGATGCACACGCCCACCGATTACATGAAGTCCATCTACGCGTCCTGCTTTATGCAGATCTGCATCTACACCCTGACCGGAGCCCTCTGCTACGCCTTTATCGGTCCCTCGGTTCAATCGCCTGCTCTTCTTTCGGCCGGTCCTCTTATTTCGAAGATCGCTTTCGGAGTCGCCTTGCCCGTCATCTTCATTTCGGGTTCGATTAACTCGACTGTTGCGCTGCGATACATCCACGGACGAATGTTCAAGGACTCGATTCTACGATACATCAACACCCCCAAGGGTTGGGCCAGCTGGATCTTCCTTGTCACAATCTTCACCATCGTCGCTTGGATCATCGCTGAGGCTATCCCCATCTTTTCCGACCTTCTCTCCCTTGCATCCGCCCTCTTCGTGTCCGGTTTCTCGTTCTGGATCCCAGCCGTCATGTGGTTCATGTTGCTCCGCGAGGGCAAGTGGTATTCCAAGAAGAATATCTACATGAGTCTCGGTAGCATTCTTGCCTTTGTTATTGGCGCTGTCACGCTTGTTGCCGGAACGTATGCTACGATTGAAGATATTGTGAGTAACCCGCTTCCATCTTTATGTCTGAATACTAATCTCTATATAGATCAAAATCACGTCCGATGGCTCTGCTCACGCCCCATTCACCTGTCGTTCAAGTTAGAAGGATGGCGTATGTGTGGTGGGCAATTGCACTGTTTCGTAATATTTAGAAGTAGATCAGAGAGAGGCCTTCAATAGGCCCTAGCCAACTACGATTAGAGGCTTGGCTAATAATGTTTACAAGAACGACATGTTTACTATTTCAACATTGGGGCGGCCAAAACGTGATGCGTAGCAACAGACAACAGATCGCCATGTGATGACAATCAATGCTGAAATTGGGTCGCAAACATCGAATTGATAAACAAGTCGTTATTAGTAAATGTAGCGGACTATGTGTAGTTGAACAATTGGATCCTGTCCCAGAGCGCACCAAGTATTACTCCCAAAATGATAGCTTCAAGCACTCCTCCGACCGATGGGGATAAAATGTACAATCTTGACACAACCCTTCCTCGCGATAATATCATATAGCAATATATTCTCTTTAATAGGCAGGACGATTGATCCAATTCTTGACCATGCTCCATCGTCGTTGAACCTCGCCTGCCGAGCCCTCGCTCGTAGTGCTCATACGTCGGGTGTTGCTGTCTCGTCGACTAACCATATTGATGTCGCCGGATCCCATGGGATTCTTGGTAACCATGACTCTCTGCTTGTAGCCTGTTGATGTGCACGTTAGTCCTTGTTTGTCTGGTGTGGATTGGAGGTGCCTACCGCTGGCGTCGTTCCTGTTGGGATTGTCGAGGACAGCCTGGAGCTTGGCCTTGGCTCTTTCGGATGCCTTTGAGGGTGCCATGTTTCGTTGATGATGGTGTAGCGTGATTCTGGTGATGGAATGCCGAGTAGTCCAAGCTATGTCGATGGATTCAAGACTTCCAACGTCACTTTGACAAGTGAGGGGATGCAGTCCCTTTATCACCCCTCGACCATCCCAACCTCGTGACCTTTCGTCATTTGTAAATGAGGAGAAGGTTGTTTGTCAGCTCTGCTCTTCACCCGGGTTGCCTATTTGAGGACAAGAGGGGAGCCATCTTCAACCGTCGGGTAGCCATCAACGTCAGAACGCGGGGTAAGCTACCCCCCTTCAGCTGCATTCAGCAACTCACGGTTTAGCATTTGAAAGGATTGTAACCCCCCGATTGAATAGCGTGGATGGCGATTGGTGGCCGCCGAGGGTTAATTGTGTGTTGCGAAAACTGCCGAATCGGACGTCTCGGGAAGGGCCTTTGATGCAACGCCCTCGCTCGACCTCAGGAGACCTCGCCAATGACGGGTAATCCCGTGAACCAAGGGAAGCCTTGGATTTGCTCCTGTATCGAATCCATTTTCTTGTGAGTTTTGGTGCCTGTTGTTCCTGATCGGCACGATAGCTGACAGAAAGCAATGACTCCTCATCCAGGTTCGGAACTTAAACCGTGACTCAGAGCCTGTCTCACACAAGCTCGAACAGGCAGAACGCGACCGCCCACATCAGTGTTTGCGTCTTTCATCATATTTCTTGTCTATAGGAGAAGAGAGGTGACTGATCTAATAACTGCCTGCTCTTTACCGTTGCGCCTCATACTTTCTGAGCTTGAACCTTCTTGTCCAAGAATGGAGGCCAACCCGTTTGATCTTCATCCGGTTAGACTCGTGGAAATATCTTGATGAAAATCCTACTCACTCGGAACTTAGGTACTGGATAAGCTAATTCGCACGGAAGAGGATTTCAGGCCAATCGTCGTGATGACCTGTGGAATCTCTGGTGAAGACATTTGTTGCCTGTCATACCGGTTATGTCTGCTAACCTGCATGACTATTAGGCGCCGGAAAGTCAACTTTGGCAAACCAAATAATTGACCGTTTCCCCAACTTTACAAGGCTTTCCGTCGATGAAATCATCTTCAAGAGTCATGGACTTTACGTTATTGACTACGCCCGAGAAAAGTACCAAGAATATCAGACGGAAGCCCAAGAAATCTTGATCACCGAGCTGAAGCATCGGCTGAAGGAAAAAACAAGCGGCATTATACTTGACCTGTCTTTCTGGAACAAAGAGTACCGTGACGAATTCAAGGCTATCATAGAAGAGTTCGGCGGTCGATGGGTTCCGGTTTTCTTGGATGCTGACAAGGAACTTCTATGGAAACGCATCACCTCGCGAAAGGCCGAAAGGGATGGTCAGGATTCGGCCGACAGAACTGGAGATTCGGCATTTGATGTGGATAGGAAAACTTTCGAGTCGTACTGTGAAGGATTTGAAAGGCCTTGTGGAGAGGGAGAGTGTGTCATCGAGGTGGTCTGACGGACGGGGTATGTGAGGGGGAAAATATACATTTTTTGATCAAATCACTAGCATGAGGTAATTTTGAGATGTGAATGAGAAAAATTAGTTACTTATCAACCGGGCCTTTCTTCTTTCAAGCAATTATAAGCCTATACCTCACCCTGAACTCACCGGGTCCTGATCTACGCCTCTTGAATTTTAACTCTCTACCTGCTCATTCAATTCTCTTCGCAACTGATAAAAGATCCTATTTCATGTTTTCATGAACTGTTGGTTTATAAGTTGGAACTGGCAGACCCTTCCCCCTTGGCATCGTGAAAGTTTGCAATGTCAAGGCTTAGTCTTCATAAACTTTCGGCATGCATCAGGAGCAAGACATCAGGATTTCTCTTTGTTTATGGAATTCAAATTCACCCAACCCGCCCCCCAATCGCATTTCAGGGGTCTCGACAGACGGGGAACCTGCGACCTGGTAATACCGCGCACTCTGGGAGTGAATACTGACGGGATACCCACCTTGTTTTGTCAGCTCCTGAGTAGACCACAGTTTGGCTTGTTGAAGAACCGGGATCTAGCGAGGCTATACAAGCACTGTCTTAAGCGACCGCACCTTCAGCTCTCGGAAGCCAAGAACCCGTTTGGCGACCCATCAACCACGGGAGCCATCTTCATAGAGCTCCCAGTGAGTTGCCTGGCGTCCAGGATACCGACATTATTTTCTAACGTCAAAGTCCGGGACGTCATCTGGTGCGTGGAGGCTGGCGACTGCGGGCTCTGTAACGGTAGTCGAACGTTGCGTGTCCGTGGTGACGAACGCCATCTGCTTTGTCGGTATTTCGACATCTCGACTGACGCGGTGGATGATGCTAGAGTGCGTGGGCTATGCCCTCTTTGCGTTGGCGAGAAGTACTTCTTGCAAAGCCTGGAATTGCAGGAAATTGATCCTGGCCATGAGTATCTTTCATCTGATGAGTATGATGCATGGGAAAGAGGACGCCTCATCAGGTTGGGATTCGATGGTTAAGGCCGATCCCATATTTGATGGCATTCGTCACGCCTTTGCAGAGCTCCTAGAGAGATCTTGACGAGATTAGATGGTGAGATGCAAGTCTCCCTAGACACCACCCTCCACCCTTCGACTCTCGGCGACACAATGCGAGTCTCCCTCGTCCACTATCACAAGAGCCTAGTCAGGCGTACGGGTCCCTAAGAAGACCGACCTGCATATTTTGATAAGCAGCAGATGGGACTCAAGAAGCTGGGGAAAAGGCTATCGAAAGGCGAAAATCTTGGTTTTGGTGAGTCGTTCCTTGTCAATTTCGCCGCATGTACGGAGTGGCTAAAGGAACGGTCTTCTAGCTCAGTTATCCTATCAAGGGTCCGGCTTCAACTATAACAAAGAACACATTCCTAACACATGATAGCATCACATCTCAAGACTAGCACAGCTGCCTTTTTTTAGTCTTTCTGCTGCCCGTAGTAGGAGACCCAGCCATCGAAGATAAGAAAGGATAAGCCGTATCAGCACAAGTATGCTAATACTTCTTCGCTTAAAATGAAGGGATAACAAGCTATGGTGTTTTGTGGTGTTGGGCTTTTATGTCGCCTCCTATCGATAACTGTGTCTTTTGCTAGCGTGGCTGATGACTTCTTGTCATGACTGTAGATAGTCATAATGAAGAGATAACTAAGCCATTCTCGGCCTTTCGGCGTACCCAAGCCATGCAAATCTCTTAAAATTGGAGAAAACGAATCTAGAAATGCTGGCAGATGTGTGCTCATATGGGGCGGGTTCATTGGTCTCTTCAACCTTCTCCTACCAAGATGATGGACGACGAGCGGGAGTGTTGGCGATTTGGGGGTGGTTGATTTAGCTCTTCATGGCGATGATTTGGTCCGAAATGACGCAAAGATACATATTTCCCTCTCTTCTTGTATGATACCTATGAACATGCCGAGCATTCTTGGCCCTGGGTCGTTGTTTTAGGCGCACAACGACAGCCACGCGTCGACGGGCGTAAGTAACAAATTCGTTCTAGCTTACAATTTAGGCTCCGGTGCTTTAGAGAAACCTCGGCTGCGATTGATGATCACATCGGTGTCAATGTTGCACACTGGCTCTCGGTATATTCCTCATGTCCGGGGTCCAGTGGTGTGATTGACACTACGCAATCAACCTACCTATTTAGTCACCACCGCTCACCTTGATCATAATTTTAAAGACCTTTTCAAAACTCTCAATCCATTTCGGACAGAATATCGCTGGATTGCACAGTCATGTCCGACTCGGAGACCAAGGCGCCTGGCGAAACCAGCGCCACCGAAAACCCCAAACAGGCTGGTGAGTTCGCGCCTTAAATCTCGATACGGCGTTCTAACCAAAGCAGCGAAATGGTATCGCACACCGTTTTATAATGCAACCATCCTTGGAATCTGCAGCTTCGCGGCGCCGGGCTTGTGGGGTGCCATGAACTCGTTGGGCGCGGGCGGCGCTCAGAAGCCTTATCTCGTCAACACCGGCAACGCCCTTACCTTTTGCTTGATGATTATTTCCTGTTGGTTTACCAGCGGTATAGTCAAGTATGTCGGCATCAAAGGCGCCCTTGTCATCGGCACCATTGGCTTCGCCCCATATAGCGCCGGTCTCTATCTCAACAATCGATATGGGGTCGAGTGGCTTGTTATCTTTGGCGCGGCGTGTTGCGGTGTTTCGGCTGGAATCTTCTGGGCTTCCGAAGCTGCTATTGGCATCTCATATCCTGAACCGCGGAACAGAGGACGGCTTGTGGCTTACTGGCTATCTTGGACACGACTTGGCCAGATCCTAGGCGGTGCCATCAACCTTGGTCTCAATGCGGACCGGAACGAAGCTGGAAAGGTCTCGTACAAGGTTTACCTTGTTTTCATCGCTCTCCAGGCTTTGGGTCCTTTCGCAGCTTTGCTGCTCAACCGCCCTTCCAAAGTTCAACGTTCAGACGGCAAGGCCGTTGACTTGACAATATTCGACCAACCCTGGCAGGAGTTCAAGGCGACAACTCGAACCTTTCTAAAGAAGGAATTTCTCTTGCTTGTCCTATGGATTGGGCAAGGCGTGTACTCCGAGTCCGTCTTCTTCACCTATATCGCCCTGTGGTTCAGTGTGCGTGCCAGAGCGCTGGGTTCGTTCGTGTCTGGTGTCGTGGCTGTCATTGCCGGCAACTTGCTCGGAGTTTGGCTGGATCAAAATCACGTCGCACTTAAAAAGCGCGCTCGATGGGCATACATCACTATCATGACGTTGCAAGGCGCGTGGTGGATATGGTTGACCGTCAACGTCACAAAGTACCGCAAGGAGCAGCCTATCTACGACTGGAGCGATCCTGGATTCGGCCGCGCATTTGGCGTTTTCATCTTTCTGGTTTCTGGCTTTCAGCTCAACTACAACTTTGCCTTCTTCATCATTGGCCAGATATCCACAAGCCCACAGGAAACAGTTCGACTCTCAGCGCTTTTGAGAGGAACGGAATCAGCGTGGCAAGCTCTCAGCTACGGACTTAACGCTTTGCCCATCTTTGCGACAGTTGGCAGTACATATTTAAACTTTGGACTTTGGGGACTGTCTTTGTTCCCTGCTTGGCTGGTTATTAAGAAGTTGGGGACAGGGAACGGACAGCTTGATGCCGAGCCACAGGGTGACAGCGAGGAAGGTCAAACAACGCCCAAGGACTCAGCTTAGCCAAGGAATGATATGGATCGGGGGTGGTTAAATAGACCAGACAGTCCTGGGCTCTCTACTGACGATGTATCTTACGGCCCTCCACGGATGCTCGTCGCTTGGTCTTGATTAGCTTCGACAATAGAAACAACCATGGACCCTGCCTTCACCATTCTCACCCGTGAACACCATGTTTTTACCTAGACAAGCAGGCATAAGTCAATTGAAGGCAAACCCTCGGCATCTATGCAACAATTTGGTATTGATAGGCGAGTAATACTATGCCCTGATTGTAAAAGCACTTTTGGCATCCCCGTCTCACGAGATTATTCCACACTTACGGAGCATCGGTAGGATCCCTATCAAAGGTTAGCAATAACTCAATTCAACTTGAAAGGACTACTAAGTTGTAACTTGCCAGTCAGTTACCAAGTGCTCATCGAGAGCATCCAAGATGGCCATATCACTTTCCGAGATCTCGAAGCCATCGACACTGGCATTCTCAAGCATACGGGCCTGCTTAGTGCTCTTGGGCAAGGTGACGAAACCGTGTTGAAGACCCCACCTGTGACATGTTAGTATTGAGGACAGAAATCATGGGTCTTGGATGAAGTCGTCTTACTTGACAAAGATTTGGGCCACTGTGACCGAGTACTTCTTGGCGAGGCCCATGATGGTGGGATCACTCATGCGCATAGCGCGAGCGAGAGGAGCATAAGCCTCGATGGTGATGTTGTGCTTAGCGCAGGTGGCCCTGATGTCGGTTTGGGTGTTGAAGGGGTGAACCTCGATCTGGTTGATGACAGGTGGGATGCGAGGGTTCGAAGCAATCAACTCCTCGATCTAGCAGACGTCAACGGTTGAACTCGAGTCCTAACAGGCAAAGACACTTACATGAGCAGAACCATAGTTGCTGACACCACCCGACCGGATCTCGCCGGCGTCAATAGCATCCTCGAGGGCCTTCCAGCTGGTGAGTCTGGCCTGCTTGCCGCCATAGGGACTGTGCAGGAGGAAGAGGTCGATGTAGCCCAGGCCGGACTCATCCACAGACTTCTTGATGGATCGTCGAACAGCATCATACGACTCATCGCAACTGGCAAGCTTGGAGGTGTAGAAAATGTCCTCGCGCTTCAAGCCAGTTGTGTTCTCGCTGCTACCGAGAAAGTCGCTGATGGCCTTGCCGGCTTGACGCTCGTTGCGGTACATCTGAGCGCAGTCGAAGCCTCGGTAGCCACTGAGCAATCCTAGACGGACTGCCTCGGTAGCCTCCTTGGTTGACATCATGTACAGGCCCAGCTGCACGCGAGGGATTGTGATGCCATTGGCCAGCTACTGGTTCGTTAGTCGCGCAACCAACAGCATGAGGAGTTCTCGGTACCGTAGCCTTGGAGGCCAACAAAGACGGAGTTGATGATGCCATTTTTCTCGAATCCGAGTCGCTCAATGTCTTGAAGTGCCGAGGACGTCTTTGCACTGAGAAATGCCGCGTTATCAAGAAGAGATCAAAGTCCGATCTCGCAGCGGGGTCGGCAGTTGAATGCGTGGGGGTGAGGTTTACATAATTATTGCGTCGGAGATTATGAGGCGTTTGCTTCCCACAGTCATTTTCATGATTGGTTATCAATCAGCCGGCTCGGGTCAGATCTCCACGGGATGAGGTACAAAGGGACGGTTATTGACACTTGTGGCTGCACGGGTGGGACGATAATCGGGACGGACCGCTACTGCCTGAGAATATGTCTCGTTATGGGAGAAGAAATGGGATATTGATGAAGAGAACGATTGTTTAGGCAAGTGACGATCCATCATGGTGTCACGGCCATGACATGGTCGAGGGCGGTAACGCCGGGCAGAAAACCAACCCCACCACATTAGCTAATCATAGGGCAAGAAGATATATAAGTCGAACGAAGTCGGTTCAATTTCTCTCGACTATATATATTAAATGCCGATAACTCGACTCGACTCGACTATATTTAACTTAAAGACTAGATAATATATAGAATATATTTATTATACTTTCTTATATAGTAGCTACCTTAGCTATTAATATAACTTAGTTATATTTAATACCTTAAGTATATTATTAGATATAATATTATATTACCTTTTAAGGTTATATAATATTCTCCTTTATTAATATAAACCTAATATAATTAATTTATCCCTTAGGAAATATCCTCTTATTATATATTAATAGCTCTTATTTAGAGGATTACTTATATTACCTTAAATAATATTAAATATAATAGCTACTTAAGCTACTCTTAGTAATAATTATTAATAAGCCTTACTTATTAATTACTTACTTACCCTTATTATATTAGCTTAGGCTAACCTTAATAGCGATAAAGAGATAAATAGTAATAATAAAAAAGTTAAGTAATTCTATGCCTAGGTTATTATTATAACTACTAAAATAAAAGAACTTAGAGGACTTATTAATTATATAGCTATTACTTAGTAAGCTTAAAACTAATAATACTATAAGAATATCTAGAATATTAATAATATAGTAATTATTATTATAAAAGGTAAATGTAAGAGTATTCGGGTCATGCCGGCTATCGCCGGCAGGTCGGGAAATCCTCGGATAATAAGTAGGCTATAGGCCACGTAAAACTCTTTTTCGTCGAAGGCTCGCAGAGGCTTCGGCAAGTTGAAGTCATATCAATATATGGAACCTACCTTTTCATCTCTGATATTATCCTGATCGTGCCTATCGGGCCCACACCTTTACAATTCTTCAATTTCTACCTATACGGAAGATCAGCACGTTATCAAGATGGACGGGTCCAATAGGAATACCCCTACCATACAGCAGCCGATGGCTCAGCGCTAGGCTGGCGAAGACAATCCAAGGGGGTTGCAGCAAGAGAGGCAAACAGCTACGCCACCCGTCGGCATAGCTGCAGGACTAGGAGTCCTAGGTCACACGAACGTGGAAGACCTCGAACAGCTAATCCGAGAGAGTAGGGAGTAGCTTACAACCCCTATCACGGATACCCTCCCGACGACTCCGCGAGAATACGGAGGCCACTCTTCGAGATACTCAGAAGAGATTACTTACCTATTAGGTGACGAGTGGCAATAGCCAAGGGCCTATACCCCGGCTATAATGCCCTTCGAGGAGCATGCGCTACCTATGCTACGTGTAGTGCCTGTTAGAGAGCACACGCCGCCGATACGACGCCGAAGAAGGGCGAGTTTATCGTCGGGATCCTTAGGAGGCTCCTCGTCCTCAGGGAGGTCGCGAAGGTCATGAAGAAGGGAGCGACGACGCCGCCGACGAATCGAATGAGAATAACAATAGATAATCTTGGATAGACTGCTATAGCAGAACCAGATACTAATGCAACTCGTTGATCGTCCGGCGCCAGCTCACCGAAAAGACTACGAGAAGCCCCCGACGTATAACTGCAAGCACCTAGCTGAATATGCTAGTGCGGTTGAGGTCGATGACTGGATTAAGGCTATTGAATCGGCCAACTAGATGAGACCTAATACTACGGCCTAATAATGGATCGAATGGTCTATGACTAAGCTTAGCTATGCCCTCCAGACGGAATGGAGAACGCACGCCGCAGGCTTGCCGATGGATCCTCCTTCCTGGGAAGAGTATCTTGCATTTGTGCGGAGGCAGCATATTGATCTAGAACTGTAAGAACGGCAGGCGAGAGACCAACTCATGGTTATTATGCAGGGGAAGGAAGAAACCCCTTTGCAATACTTCGCGCGATGGCGTGCCCTCCGCGATATATTGCCGACGAAATGGGAAGAGGATAAGGGCGTAGCCCACTACTTCTTCTACTACTTGGCACTAAGAGTCAAGAGAGAGCTTGAGCGGATCAAGTGGCCCTTAGATAGGGCCAGAGACATTGCTAATGAGGCAGAACGTATTTGGAATTGGTCCTAAGCTAGTAATGAGGCTAAGAGGAAGCATAAGCTAGACGTCTCCGAGCCTTCGGCGAAGAGATACCATTCCCCTCATCGAGGAGGCTACAAGGGAACCCCTAGGGGAAGCTCATCCTCGGGACCTCCATCAAGAGCAGGGTCAGAATACCCACGAGGGAACTAGAGCCGTTCTAATATACCTGCATCGGCGACGCGTCGCCCGTATGGCGGTGAGAGACCTGCGGCGATTAGATGCTATAATTGCAACTAACTAGGACATAAGGCACCAGATTGCCCACTAAAGAAACTAACTGGTGTAAACCAAGCCCCTCTTAGAAGAGGCGGCCCTTCGGCGAAGGTTAACTATACCCGCGCCGGAGAAGAGTTAGATAACTCGGAAAATTAGGATGGATGGAGGAAGAACCTATCCCTCCATCTATAACCCCTATCAAATGGGTACCCACGGGGAAGACCGCCCGAGCCAAAGGACTAGCTCTCTGAGGGCTCGCCGAGGAAGAACTAAATATACTCCTCGATATAGGGTCTGAGATCGATCTGATCAGTATGGACCTTGTCAGAAGGCTAAGGCTCAAACCTGCAACGGACTACGCTGCCCCAGGGCTAGAATCCTTTAGGGGGGATAAAACGAACCTAGGAAACGCCTACTGGTTTACCTTCTTCCTTATTGATAACGGCGGGAACCCGCGGAAGGTACGGCGAGTGTTCGTAGGGTCTGACACTGGGTCAGGGAGGCATGACGTGATCCTGTCCTACCGTTTAATGGGCTAGGAAGGCATTGTGATTGACTGTGCCGTTGACTCGTGGTACTATCGAGAGATCGCGCTCGTAGACCCCGAGTCCCTTCTCCGAGATATCGTCGAGAACCGTGAAACAGCCTATGTGCTACACATTGCGGCTACCCTCTCACTAGAGGAAAGGAGCATGGCTACGCTCGGCGAGCTATCGGACACCGGAAGGGAAGACGAAAACGAATTCCCTCTAGAACTCGAAGGCTTAGAAGGGTTTTTCGACGAGGATGCGGCCAAGGGGATGCCGCTCTTGCCAGAGGCATCCCATAGGATCGATCTCGTCGAAGGAAGCAAACCACCATATGGGCCGCTATACCCCATGAATGAGGCCTAGTACGGCACCCTTCGGGAATACCTCGCCGAGAACTTAGCGAATGGTCGGATCGAACATTCAGTGAGCGAAGCGGGTGCCCTAATCCTCTTCGTTCCCAAGAAGGACGGAGGAATGAGGTTGTGCGTAGACTATCGAGGGTTGAATAAGGTCACGATTAAGAACCGTTACCTACTCCCCCTCATTGGAGACCTCCTAGACCGGCTCGCAGGAGCAAAATGGATCTCGAAGATCGATATCTGTGATGCGTACTATCGCATAAGGGTCGCGGAAGAAGACCGATGGAAGATAGCATTCCGCACGAGATACGGATACTTCTAATATACGGTTATGCCATTTGGGCTCACTAACGCACCGGCTACATTCCAGGCGTACATTCACCGATCACTCGCCGACATGTTGGATATATGTTGCATATCCTACATGGATGACATCCTCGTCTACTCACAGATAAGAGAGGAACATACTAAGCACCTACGAGAGGTCTTGCGATGGCTCGCCGAAGCATAGCTATACGGCAAGCTATCTAAGTGTGAATTCTACTAATAAAGTGTTGAATTCCTTGGGTATATTATTACCCAGGAAGGAGTTAAGATGGACCCCATTAGGGTTAAGTCAATCTCTGAGTGGGAGGCTCTAACTAGCTTCAGGGATATACAGGTGTTCCTAGGGTTTTGTAACTTTTATCGCAAATTTATCGCGTACTACTCGGCGATCGTTAGCCCGATTACGTCCCTGTTAAAGGGGAGTAAGAATGGAAAGAAGAGCGGCGAGTTCATATGGACATCAGAGGCAGAATAAGCCTTCCAATAGCTCAAGCACGCTTTCTGCTCCGCGACGATTCTCCGATATTGGGATCTGTCACTACTAATGAGGGTAGAAACAGACGCCTCAGCGAGAGCCATTTCTGGCATCCTGACGCAGTTGGTCGATACCCAATGGCGACCGATCGCTTACTGGTCGCGGAAGCTATAAGACTAAGAGCAACGGTGGGCCACGGGCCAACAAGAGCTACTAGTAATTATCGAGAGCCTTGAACATTGGGCACACTACTTGCAAGGGCTTTCAGAGAAGTTCCTCATCCTGACGGATCACCAGGCGCTCACCGGTGTCGTCGAAGCATCGGCAAAGGATCTGCGAGGCAGACTCGCCCGTTGGGTATACCGATTATCCGCATTCGATTTCGATATCAAACATCGACCGGGCACGAAGAACCCTGCGGATGGCCTCTCAAGGAGACCAGACTATATGAAAGGAGAGATCTCCTACGAAGACGTCCTACCCACACTGGCTAAAAAGCTGGAGCTCACATACGAGCTGCCGGAGCCCACTTAGCGACGCATCGCCGCGCTTGAAGGCAAGATGAGTATTTTATCTATATACGTCTGCGCAGTAAGGGCTATGATGAGGGGTCCCCCCCCCTCCTGTGAGCACGAGCCGAAGAGCACCACTCACTACACGATATCCGCTGTCATGACTCGACGTCAACGGGCGAAGATAGAGAGAGCAGACGCTCCACGGACTGCTGAGTAGGTGGAGGACTCTCGGCGAGCCTCCGGGGACCTGACTCTAGCTGGGGTTACTGTTCCGGAGTAGTATATCCCACGCCCGGTCATGAGAGAGCTCATGGAGGGCGAAACGGCACTTCTCTCCTAGCCTTCTAAGAAGTTCGAGACGTTGGTTAAGGAACTGCAGAGCCAAGACCAATAATGTCAATACTTCACGGCAAAGGCTCGGGGAACCGCCGGCGAACGCAGGGGATACACAATAGACTCCTAAGACTTGTTGCGTTATAAGGGACGACTAGTCATCCCGGACTAAGGAGCCATGAGGACAGAGATCCTTCGCCGACACCATGACGACCCGAGAGCAGGTCACATGGGGTCCCAAAAGATACTTGACCTTATTTCGAGGAAGTTTTACTGGCAGGGCATCGCGGAAGATGTCCGAGAGTACGTCGAAAGCTGCCCGACATGCTAAGGCATCAGAGTTCCGAGGCATAGACCCTACGGGAAACTCTAGTCCCTATTACTACTGTTATACCCGTTCTAAGAGATTAGCCTCGATTTCATAACTGGGCTTCCGCCGAGCACTCGGAGTGACGGCGGTAACTATGACGCGATTCTCGTTATTGTGTGTAGGATGACTAAGTTCGCGCTGTTTATACTAACGACGAAGAAGCTGAGAGCCACGGAGCTCGTAGCTCTCCTATACGAGCACGTAGAAAGCCGGTTCGGCATACCAGAAGGGATAGTCAGCGACCGAGATAAGCTGATTACTAGCAAATTCTGGGCAGACCTTATGAAAGAACGGGCGATCCGTCGCCGACTGTCAACCGCGTACTATCCGCAGACGGACGGTTAGACGGAACGCACCTATTAGATACTCGAGAAGTATCTGAGAGCGTATGTAGGAGACTCGCCCGAAAGGTGGGCGATATAACTCCTAGACGCTGCCTTCGCCTATAATAACAGCAAACACTTAACCATCGGGGTCTCCCCAATGGAAGCGCTGTTTGGCTACTACCCGAGATGTGTGGAATACGTCCCAATAAAGATGGAGACGAACGTGCAAGGCGTCGCCGAATGCTTGACGATGCTAGGCCGCGTATGGACCTAAGCACGGGTACACTGGGAGAAGGCTTCGGAATCCTAGGCAAAACACTATGACTCAAGGCATAAGCCATAGACCTATTATCGGGGATAGATCATTGGAGTATCGATGAAGAACTGGAGATTCAAATACCCTAAGCTGGCCCCGAGATTTATGAGAGCTAAGGTCCTCGATAAGTATGGCGAGTAGGCCTACGCCTTGGAGCTGCCGGAGAAGTACTAGCGTATACACAACGTGTTCTATGTATCACTCATAGAGCCGTGGAATGATCGCAGGGCTATCGGCGATACCACGCAAGAGCAGCTAGAGCTCGAGGACGAGCCTGATGAGTGGGAGGTGGAAGAAGTAGTCTCACATAAAGACGTGGGAGACGAGACTTTTTACCTCATTAAGTGGAAGGGTTGGCCAGTGGAATATAATACCTGGGAACCAAAAGAACATTTGGAAAACGCATAAGCGATGGTGAGGAAATACCTTAAAGTCGCGAGGAAAGATCATAAGAAATGGGACGAGGCGTAGCTAGACGTACGCTGAAAGCACTGCGATAAGAAAAGTCCCATTGATCTAGATATAAAATAGAAAACTTAAACACGAAAACAAGGTAAAATAAGACCACGCCGGGTCATTAACGAAGATAAGAGATCACTCGCCGAGGCATCGCAATGTAGGCGCAGAACAATATGAATGAGGGCCAAGTCAGAAGATAAGGCCATAACGGCGGAAGACCTAGGGAACACAAAGAGCCGATACGTCGGCGATAGAACGCAGTAAGCTCTCAAGGGTTATTGTTGGCACCACCACGACCACCACCACGACCACCACGACCTCCGCTACGAGCAGTTTGGCTGCGAGTCTTGCGGGCCCTCTTGGGGGGTCTGCTCGGCGAAGGATCGGGAGCCTTATCGTTATTATCGCCACTATTAGCAGGACGAGCACGCTTGCGGCCACCAGGAGTCGACGAAGGGTCGGCGGGGCCTCGGAGACGAGGACCCTGGCCAACGAAGGAAACAGGACAAGTAGGACCGGGGTTGCCATCATCGATAGCCTGATCAGCGACGTCGTATAGCTCGCCGAGACCACCCACAATGTCACGGTTACTACCCTCAACCTCGATATCGGTTCTCGGGTTGTTTTCGGCGCCATCTAGGCGATCGATCGCCTTAAGCAGTAGCTGGGCAGGAGTATCGTCACGAATGTAGACGGGGGCGGCAGCAGCGATACGACTGGTCATCTCGGAGAGGTTCATCTGGGCTCCAGCCTATACGCAGAACGTTAGCCGATACTTGGGCGAAAGGAGGACGAAACTTATACCTTGGAGGCAGAGCAGGGATAGTAGCTCTCGGTTGGAGGCAAGCTCCTGCGTCTGGACGCGGGACAACTGGAGCGCATCCTTGGACTTCTGCGACATGGGGTCACGGAGGCGATCGGCGACCTTCCGCTAAGCATACGCCACATCCTTGACGGCACGGTTGGCGCGCCAGATCTGGCAGCGGGTGTACGAAGAAGGGTCGGCGATGATATCGTCGCAAAGATTGTGAACGTCGTTCCACGAGGCCTGGGCAGCACCCCAAAGCTCGCGGGGAATCTGCGAAGCATCAGCGATAACTCGGAGAATATGATAGAAGGAGAGGAGGGAAAACTTACAGAGCCACACTTCTTTTTGTCATGGGCGCACAGTAGGCAACAGTTCGGCGACTGGTCGGTGATGCAAGGGATTCGGGGGTCCTTGTCCATGTGTTCTAGGCAATACATGCAAGGAACCTCACCTAGATCCATCTTCTAGAAGTTGGCAGCGGCATCGTACGTGAACTTCGAGAGCACGGCGGAGTAGGTGGCCAGGAGAGATATCGCCGAAAGCTTCGCGACGGGCGGACGAGTGAGTGATGTGGGAATGAGAGGGAAAACTGAAGAATCGCATGCGATTCAGGAAGACGAGACCAACAGGGATCGCGGAGGCTGCGGCGATGTTATTGCGATAGGCAGTAGAATTGTTGTTGTGAGGAAAAGGAAAACAGAAGAGGGAAGATTGTTGTGGAACAGAAAAACTTTGGTCACAGCAGCAACAGCTGTATTTGAGCCGCCAGTGCCAGACAGCTGGCAGCGCGAAGCGATCGCCAACGCGACGGCGACTAACCAACCGCAAAGGAGAACAACGACCCTACGACAAAGACCACAATCATCACAAAGGGAAAACGCAAAGGGAACGGCGAACAATCGGCGAAACATCACAAAGAGGCATTGAAGCCTGAAATCGTTGAAAGACAGCTATATTTAGATGTCTTTGGTGTTGAACAAAGGAATGAGATGATTGGCCGGATGAGCTTGTGGGACCAAGCTCCCTGGAGAGGGGGCAATTGTAAGAGTATTCGGGTCATGCCGGCTATCGCCGGCAGGTCGGGAAATCCTCGGATAACAAGTAGGCCATAGGCCACGTAAAACTCTTTTTCGTCGAAGGCTCGCAGAGGCTTCGGCAAGTTGAAGTCACATCAATATATGGAACCTACCTTTTTATCTCTGATATCATCCTGATCGTGCCTATCGGGCCCACACCTTTACAGTAAAGATATTAGAGAAATCTTAAAGCTAGAATAATTAGAGAAATTTAATAATACTATATATAAATTATTAATATTCCTTATATAACTATACGCATTTATACTCTATTACCTTATATAATTTACTATAGTATCTAATAAGGTCTAATATGCCGCTAGGTATCTATTATAACCTAATATATACCTAACCTCTGTAATATACATGATTGCCCTATACCCGGGCGTTAGCACTAATTAGAGAAGGATTATTACTAAAGTTAGATTACCGCGATCTTAGGATTACCATAATCTAAGGATTACGGCGATCCTAAGATAATTATAATCCCTCTATAACTAGCTTAATATATAATACGCACTTATATATACTTTCCTATATAATAGCTACCTTAGCTATTAATATAACTTAATTATACTTAATACCTTTAAGTATATTATTAGATATAATATTATATTACCTTTTAAGGCTATATAATATAATCTAATATTAATATAAATTAATATAACTAATTTATCCCTTAGGAAATACCCTCTCATTATATATTAATAACTTTTATTTATTAGATTACTTATATTACCTTAAATAATATTAAATATAATAATTATTTAGGCTACTCCTAGTAATAATTACTAATAGGTTTTACTTATTAATTACTTATTTACCCCTATTATATTAGTTTAAGCTAATCTTAATAGCAATAAAGAGATAAATAATAATAATAAAGAAATTAAATAACTCTATGCCTAAGTTATTATTATAATTACTAAAATAAAGGAACTTAAAGGACTTATTAATTATATAGCTATTACTTAGTAAGCTTAAAACTAATAATACTATAAGAATATCTAGAATATTAATAATATAGCGGTTATTACTATAAAAGGTAAAGATATTAGAGAAATCCTAAAGCTAAAATAACTAGAGAAGTTTAATAATATTATATATAAGTTATTAATATTCCTTATATAATTATATATATTTATATTTTATTACCTTACTTAGTTTATTATAATATTTAGTAAGGTCTAATATACCGCTAGGCGATTTATTAAGTATATTATAGCCTAGTTTAAACCTACTATAAAGGATTACCTTATTAAACTACTTATTAAATACTCGCCTTAGACTATAAACCTCTACTCTAGCTTTAAGACTTTTAAAGCCGCGCTTTAATAAGCTTTTAGAATAATAAATAAAAAAGCCTAGGTAAAAAGAGAAATTAAGGTATTCTAATAAACTCACTTTATATTAGAATATAATATTAAATACCTTTAGCTTACCTTAAAGCTTAATTAAGACTAAGAACCTCTAATATCCTTTTTTTTTAATAGACTTAAGAAGGAGGTATAGGCCGAACTCTATAAAGAAGATTAGCCTAATAACCTTATTAATTATATCGGCTAAGTAATTAAGATTAATAATTAATAATTCTCTTAGAAGAAACTCTAAAACCCCTATAATAATAATAAAAACTATTAAAAACCTTAATTTAATACCTACTAAGGGCGATCCTAATAAATTAATACCTCCTATAAAACCTATATAAGACCTATAAAACTTAGAATAACTTAATAGAAAAAATATAATTATTATAGACTTAAATACTAATATTACTATAAGATAAATTATATTAAGAAGATCTATTATAAAAAGTAATATAATATTAAAGAAGGTTATTATTAGCTATAATAATAATAACTCCTTAAAGGCAAAAAATAAATAAGATTTATATAAGCTAATAATAAACTATAGATAGCTCTTTAGATAATTAAGATACTTAGTATAGCCTGGACTAAGTATAATAATATTAGTCTAGAATTAGGAGGAATTACTATGCCTTATAGCTAAGTATACCTTACTAAGGAATAATTTAGGCATAATAATTACCCCTAGCTAAAATTATAATATATTATAATAAAACCCCTAAAGATAAAATAGCTCTACCTTATAGATAGATTAGGATAGAAGCTATTACCCGAACTAATTAATAAACCTAATAAGAACCCTAATACTAAGACTATTATAATAATTAGATAAATTAAGCGATATAATAAGGACCTTAATTATAGCGCTAGAATAGAGGCCTAGTGATAATTAGCGATAGCCCGGATTTAAAACTAATAGA